GTTGGCCCCCGGGGGCCTGGGCCGCCAGCTGAGGGCGGGGGCTGCGGGAAGCGCTGCCCTCGCCGCGGGTGGCTTCTTTCGGAGGGGAAGCGCCGGCGCCGCGTCTCAAAGTGTTTTTATTTCCTAGCTCGTTGCCGCCGCAGGCTGCCGAGCTGGAGAAGGGGGTGCCGAGCGCAGGCTTCGTTCTGAGCCTGGCCCCGGCGGGGGCGGATCGGGCAGCGTCTGAGCGCTGCTCTCGTCGCGGGTGCTCAGGCACCCGGGCCGGGGGCCACGCTGCAACAGCACCGCTGTGGGACTGCTCGAGCCGCCTGCTCTGAAGTCAAGGGGACAAAACAGGAATGCTGTGTTGTAGCCGGTACTTGTTTCTTACTCGAGATTGTGAGATTTATTTTGGTCGCATCAGCTGACAAGAATGCAGCCCGTGTTTGCCCCAGTGCACTTCAGGTACAATCTCATGGGAGTCTGTACATAGAAGCAGTAGTTACCAACCAGAAGTGACCCTCTCATTTGTTTCCACTTGTAAAGTATCAACGGCATCAGTCCCCGAAGCTATTAACTTTCCTCTCTTTCTCCAGGATATTGCGACACTTTATAATAGTTCTTGAGAAACTGGTAGGTTTCTTTTACAAAAAGTTACGGAGCTCTTGTGAAACCATGTGCTACATACAGGGAAAAATTTGAAAGATCGAAAAAACGTAAGGAAATAGAAAATCCTTCCAAATACTGCTGCTCAAAAGAGGTGTGAGTCAGCTGGAAAGTGAGCAAGTGTCATGATGAGAGGCATGCTGTCATGTGGTTCGGATGGACAGCGTGCAGTCAAGACCCCTTGTCCCACTACCGGCTCTGCATCAGTTCAGTTATTTTATCAGAGCTCACTCTGGGTGATTGACCAGATGGGGCAAACTGAGAATCCCTGTACAATTTTCTGTGTTTGTTTCCCCCTTTTTGGGATCCCCAGTAAACACCCAGCTTGCCGTAGTTCAGATTACATGCCTTCTTTGACATTTGCTTCATCAACAAAACTTCCAGCATCAGCTCAAACTCGGATCCTTTAACCTTCCTCAATAGTTCCTTTCCAAACATACTTCACTCTTATAAAGCTTTTGCCAGCAAAAACTGTTTACCTTCTCTTGCTCGAGGAGGAAAAACAAACCAAGGCATATGCAAACAAAAGCTCTTCTGCTAACCAAGCCTGAACCCCTGCTAGAGTTGAGCAACCTCCCTTGTAAGAAGTGTTGCCTCTGCGTGACACCATATGACCATCTGTCACCTGACTCAGTGACAAGCTGGAGCCCTGGCAAAAGGTGCTGAAGAAAGCATGTACGCTCAGGGCTTGCTTGTTTTTTTACAGCACTTCTAGAATTAGATCTTTTTCTTTTTAAATATTTCCTTTCTATCTCTTCAGAGCTTATGAGGTTGAAAGCAATCCTATCTAATGAGTACAGCGTCAGTTGTTTCCAAGCCACACACAGTTAAGAGGTAAAAATGGGTAGAAATTGTCAAGAAAAGATAACTTTTTTTTTTTTCCTCATGACTGTTAAATTTGGAGATACACTTCACATGGAAGATGCTACACAGAGTGACCGTGTGTATTTTTTTCTCATGTTTCTCTTAATTTAATGCTTTTTTTTTAAATCTCAATCTTGACATTGTATTTAATTCTTCAGGCTTTTTGTTCTTGTTGTTTCAGATTCAATATGCTGTTTTCTAGGACATTCTTTCATGATTTCCTATGTGGTCCTCTTGTTTTATCACTGGTTTTTCTCCAGTCTCCTCTTAAGTGTTTTCAGTACACAGATACCATAATACCAAAGTTTTGCCATTTTGACCTTCTGAACTTTTCCATGTTTTTCTCATTTGTCTTTCTGGCTCAGACCTCTCTCTCTGAGCTCTGGAATGGTAAGTCTTGGCCTGTTAATCCTAAGATCCCACAATGATCAAATCTCAGGTCCTCCTTTTCTTCCTCTCCTGTTAGTCAGATCGCTCCTGTCTTCGTTTCTTAAATGGAAAAACTGAGGCTTGGGGAAGCCAGGATTTTTCATGAGCACAGCAGGTCATTGCTGGAACTGAGAACTGAATGCAGGAGTTTGCCCCAGTCCTGCTCTGTAAATATAGTGCATTTCCTAACTGTGTCCATCATTATCTGCATCTCTGTCTCACTCTTCTCTGACTCTCATATTCAGACTCCTTTCTATCTGTAATCTCCACACGGTGCATCTGACTATCCCACAGATCCAGAACAGACTGCTCCAGTATTACACACTAAATTGTCTTTGTCTATCCTTACGGTTTTGTCCAGGCTGACATCAGCAGGCTTGGTAACTTCAAGTCCTGTTATCCCGTTATCCGTGAGCAGCTGCAGGGCACTTGGCAATGTTCCTCAGCAAGTGCGTTGTCCTGTGTCCGAGCAGCACCGCTTACAGTAGCGTTACTAATGGTGCGCTGTCCCTGTCCTGGCAGATCTTCGTCCGCAGCACAGACTGTGATCGGACGCTGATGAGTGCGGAGGCCAATCTGGCAGGCCTGTATCCCCCTGAGGGACAACAGATATTCAACCCTAACATTTCCTGGCAGCCCATCCCTGTGCACACAGTGCCTGAGTCCGAGGAAAGGGTAAGTTAGTCTCAAGGATGTGTACGGACTACGCAACTAGTGTGTTATGCTGACTTCTCCAGAAGTCTTGGCTTCCGTCGTGATTCAGATTGTGTTGAACTTCTCCTGGGACCTACCTTGCAAAGGCTCTTCTGTTCTCAGGACAAGACGAGAATTCAGGGGCTGTGTTCACTCAACATGTTAGCTGCAACACCTCAGCAGACCACACACAATCTGAAGTATGTTAGGAGGCAGTACTCAAGGCTGTTTATAGATGCATCCCACCAGTCAGGGTTTCGTTACAGTTGCGCGTGTTGACTGCAAATGCTGTACTTCTGTGTTCTCGGTGACCTAGCTGCTCTTGTTGTCTCTGCCCAGCTACTGAAGTTTCCTTTGACCCCCTGTCCACGGTATGAACAGCTACAGAATGAAACTCGGCACTCAGCAGACTACATAAATAAGACCAAAGAGAATTGGGTAAGCGATTGTTTGCATGAGATAAGGTAGTCTTAGGCTTGTAGTTAAAGTAGTATCACCTCTCTATATATAATCAGAGCTCTAAGAAAAGGATAGGAGTACCCGTGCATATAATACAGTATGAAACAGAAAACTGAAGGCCTTTCTCTTTTCTCATACCTACAGCAATTCCTGCAGATGGTGGCAAATGAGACTGGGATCCGGGATGTCTCTCTCGAGAGTATTTGGAGTGTGTATGACACACTGTTCTGTGAAGTAAGTTTGGCCATCATCTTACAGCTGTGGGAATTTGGTCTTTAGGACTCACTGGATTTGGCAGAAAATTATTTTGCAAAATCCCATAAAACAACTTTTCACCATTCCCACCCTACAGTTAGAAGTAATGTTCTAATTTCAGAATAATAACAATTCCAACTCACTAGAGGCATGTTTCAAGAGTTACCTACTTTTTCACCCTATAACCTCCTACTTTGATATATATCGTACCAGAGCCAGAAAAAGTCTCACCTATATAATAAATACCTCTTTTGAAAGTCACTAGAAAATGACTGCAATCTGAAATATTTCGATTACTGTGGACAAGTCTGAGTTAAGTAAGATAGAAGTGAGATCTCTGGAAACTGACAGAGTTTTTAAATAATTTAAATAATAATTTTATTATTTAAATTAGGACTATTCCTGGTTCTACCACTACCTTTCTGTTACTTTGGATCAATCCCTTTTCCTTCTGTGCTTCTGTTAATGCCATCTCTAAAAGAAAATAATGCTCTTCTAGGTTAAGTGGAGTTCACCCACATCTGTTTTTGACCTATTATAAGGTCCTTTGCCGGAGACAGACTCGGACAGATGTTACCCTTTTACTGTCTGGGGTGGGGCACCAAACTCTATATTCACATGGAGTTTTGTTGAAAGCTCATCTCATGAAGGCTCAAACAAATCAAAAATCGGGTTAGTTGTGCTGTAATAATGCTAAAGTAAAGGTCACGTACCCAGGAGACTTACGGTTGTTGCACACAAGTTTATTTGTGTATAACTACACAGCATGATGAAATAAATTCTAGAGATCTTTCATGTCAAACTAGCTAATTGTGAAAGAAGCAGTAAACCCAAGCATTTTGACACTATGTCATGCTCATGCTATGGAGGTGCAAGGCTACTTAGCTTGCTGGCAGTGGTATACAGTGGTATGTACTATTTGGGGGATGTAAAAGATAAATCTGCATGGAATTGGATTTTGCTATGTAAAGTGGCAGCCTGAGTTGCTGCAAGTTGATAATCCAGTCCAGAGCTTCATTGCACTATGTAAATTTTCCCTTTGTATCACAAAACAGATCTCCTGTCTTGTAACAATCGCAGTGAAGCAACTTCTGTTGGTAACAGAACTTCTGTTCTGATCTCTCTTTGGTCAGAGAGATCAAGAATTTCACATCTTCTTCATTTTCAAGACATAGTTAATGAGCTTGCAAATTGGTCCTGGAAGGCAAGCCGACAACCGCTATGATCCCCAAGAACTCAGAGAATAGCTCACTGTCCTAAAACGAAACCAGGAACATTTTGAGGAAGAGTTGTTTTACTCCCAAAACTATACCCTCCTGCTGATCAGTCTCTTCAGCGGCTTTGGGCTTCCTCCTTTTTTCTCACTCTTACTAACACTGCCTTGAAGAGTATTGTTTTTCCTCACCTCAGCCAGCAGATCCGTTCTGCCGTCCGGATGGAGAAAATAAAGAAGTCCCAAGAAATAGCTGAACTTACCAGCTATTCTCTTTGTAAATTGATGAAAAACTAACTAAATAGCTAAGTTGCTGATGGGAGTTTCTCTGAACCACTCAGATAGAATAGGCCCTTAAGGATATTCAGCCTCATTTTCTGGCAGTTTAATGGAATGTGGCATACGAAATTGCTCCAAGTAATGCCAGGGAACCACAACTGCTGTTTGTCTGCCAGTATTTCTTGTAATGGGTTGGCTGCAAAGCAAATTCTTCTCTTCATTCCCAGTTATGTGTATTCTGGGATTGAGTACTGGGCTTCGTCAGTGGTGCATCCCGGTGTTACGTCTGCAGAGCACTTGATACGCTTGCTAACTTGCTCCAGTATCCTTCAGCAGCCCTCAGAGCCTCCAGGGAAGTTGTGCTGTAGATACACCAGAAACCTTGAGTTCATGCTCTCTCAGTTATCTTTTTTTTTTTTTTGACTGCATGCCATCTGGACGGCAGAATCAGCCACGCATAAAGTACATGCCCTAAGATTATTGCAACGGTGTTACGACATAACCCTACACTCCAGTTGTGCTTTCACAGAAATGTAGATCCTAGATTTAATCTTTATGCTTCTCATTATTAGTTTCTGAAACAACATTAAAACCCACATATATTCTTTGCATGCAGCACAGCAGTATGAGGACAGAAGCATAAATAGAAAGGGGCATATTTAAAGTACTAGAGGAAATCAGTAGCAGTATGGGCAGGACTCCAGACACCCCGACTCCCATTCTCCGATTAATCTGCGATCCGTGCTACCTGCAGATGAGTATTCTGTTTCTCTTTCTAGCAAGCACACAAAATGGATTTGCCTGTATGGGTGACACCAGATGTCATGACTCAATTGAAGCAACTAAAAGACTTTGGTTTTGAATTTCTGTTTGGGATCCACAATCGGGTAGAAAAAGCTCGTCTGCAAGGCGGTGAGTGCCCCAGGGAGGGAGCCTCATGCTGCTCTTACTAGTTTTTGCCTCTTACTAGCTGTTCCCTTTCCTCAGGGGTCCTGTTGGATCACATAAGGAAAAACCTAACCAAAGCAGCAAACCTTTCTGCCCACCAGAACCTGAAACTACTTGCCTATTCAGCGGTAAGTCAGAGCTTGGGGGCTAGCTTTTAGCAATCTCCTCCTCCTCTCATGGGATTTGGGCTTGGTGATAGTTTTAACCCTTTCTGGCTTCTCCACAGCCCATGCAGCGATCAGGACATGCATCTTTGCCTCTGGCTGGGTAGGACATGCAGGAAAATTCCCAACCTGCACTTCATTCCTGTTAGCTTAGGCTTGTGGATTAGGCCTGCAGACTTTAGGGGGCCATGGCTGTATTTATTTGGTAGATGGGTTGATGCTACTCAGATGGGATGTTTCAGCAGCGTAGATACACAGTCATCCCCCCCTTTCCAGCAGCCTACTGGCTGGAAAGGCAAGCATCTCTCCCAAACTACTCCCTAGAGAGATTCTTAAAAAACAATGCAGGATATATATGGCTGTGTTTCACTTCCTCCCCTTCTCTGGCACCGTCACAGATCACTGTTACAGCTGTACAGTTTCTCTCCCCTCTTCCGCATGGAATTACAAAGGTGACATCCCGTCAGCACTGCACTGTCCGTTACTGGTATGGTGTGAGCTGCCCCGCCACATCCGTAAGGGTGACTGATTTGTTTTTTCCCTCTTTCTCAGCATGACACCACACTTGTGGCACTGCAGATGGCTCTAGATGTCTACAACAAGATTCAAGCACCATACGCCTCATGTCATTTATTTGAGCTGTATCAAGAGGATGATGGGTGAGGGCTGCAGTAAAAACATCTGCTATTTCACCTCAAGGCTTAGATACCTAGGCTAGGCTCCACCCTAGAGGGATGCAATCTTGCTTCTAGTGGTAGACTCTTAGGAGGAAAACTACCACCAGAATAAAGGAAAGGGTGTGCACACTAAGTTTTTGGGAAGGGAGGACTTTAGCTGGAGAGAAAAAAAAAAAAACAAACAAATGTCATCTAGCTGTGCTTTGTTTCCAGTAACTTCTCTGTGGAGATGTTTTTCCGGAACGAGAGTGGGAAGGAACCTTTCCCACTGACAATCCCTGGCTGTCAGCATAAATGCCCACTGCAAA